ACTTTACAAGCTTTGAATAAGCGCTAAAATGAATATGAATGAATGAATGAATATAAATAAATATTTTTTTTAGCTCTATGGGCGAAAATAAGGATTATATTTTATTTAAACAAAAATTATTTACTAAACATTTTTTTTAGATTTTATTTGTACCCTATATCTATATATATAAAAGAAAGTCGTGTTAGTTACTTCGCTTATAACTCAAGAACGGCTGAACCGATTTAGCTGAAAATTGGCAGGGAGGTAGTTTAGAGCCAGGAGAAGGACATAGGATACTTTTTATCCCGTTCGACCGCGTTCCAATTTTTATGATATTTTAATTTTTGGATTTCTCTTAGTCCGGAATAGGTAAGTATTAAAACATATAATTAAAATGTGAGAAAGAAAGATTTTTTCTTTTTATATCTATTTAAAACGTACCTAGCGACGAACCCGAGCGAAGCGAGGGTGAGCCGCTAGTTAAAACCATAAAATGCTTATTAGGGATTGAACTAGTAATTGTGTAATGGTCAAAATTAATAATATCTTTCCATAGATTTTTCTTACCAGAGATAGATATATGATGAGATACAAAACTGTTTCAATTTTTTATCTTTAGTAAAAAAAACAAAGGAAGTAAAAACCAAGAATCAAAATAAATCCGCAAAAAAATCCGAAACGATAGTTTTATTTGAACCGATTGAAATAGATGAAGAAACCATACCCAAATCGGTTAAGCCGTTTTTGAGATTAGCGCGCACAAACGCATAAACAAACAGACAAAAATTCTAAATATCATTGTTTTGGGTTAAAATAAATACCTCCAATATATTTCCATGTACAGACAGCGATTAGTTACAATTTTATTATATGTATAGATGTCAAATATTCACGTAAATCTAAGAAAGTATTAAGTTAGGCAGATGCATAAAATGATATTAATTTTAGTATAAAGTAATAGAAAACGTACCTAGTATATTACATACATGATTATGTAGCTAGTTTCAAAAGTTTCTAGTTGTTATTATTCAAGACATTTTAGGAGAAACTCATTTCGACACTTAGCGATGCAGTACGTGATTTACAACATTAAGTATCTTCTGAGATACTTTACGTAATCGAGCGATTAATACACATATATGTATGTAAACTAAATATATAACTATTTCTAAAAGATAAATTTTGACGACACGTTTGGCTCAGTTTTTAATGACCTTACTTGCTGTGCCAGCGGTCGCGGGTTCGAGTCCCGCTGGAGGAGTTCATTTGCGTGATGAGCACGAATGTTTGTACTCCAGTCATGGGTGTTTATATTTATAATATATATGTATTTAAAGTTATATATGTGTAGTGTACCAACTGGTATCCATAACACAAGCCTCGTAGCTTACCATGGAACTAGATGATGCTGTGTGTAAATGTTCTAACAGATTTATTTATTTAAATATCTTGAGATAAATAGATCCATGGATATTTTTGTCGTAATTTTGTAAACGTGTGCATTAATGTCCTACTAACCGATGTTGTTTACGTTGAAGATTGCACGAGACATATAATAATGCCCTCCTGACCGATTCCGTCCACGGCGGCCAATCTCATTGAGACTAGCCAACTGCGCAGGAGATATTATAGTGCACAAGTGTACGCACAGACACAAGTGCAAACTCTATAGGTTTTACTCTTAAAGTCCGATATAACGATACTTCGACACGACCGGTGAAACTTAAGGCGCAGGATCAACGTCATTACATGCTTTCTGAGGCACGAGGGTGCAACACTACCAACTTCCCAACTCCGGGCTACTACTGAGAATATCTTAACAGAAAATCTCAGTGATCAAACGTGGTCCGACCCGGGACTTGTACCTAGGACCTCAGCATCTGCAGCCTTACATGTTAGCTACTAGATCACTGAGGCAGTTTGAGTTATTTTGACATATTTGACATATTTAATATTATATTTGACATTATTATAGTGCACAATTGCTTGCGAAAACACAAATACATACAATATTCCTTTAATTCTTACATTCCGATAATACGATAACTCTATATAAATGGCGAGATAAGGTGCAGGACCGACAGCTTAAGGTCCTCTAATTTTCCGCCTTAAGACGGTGAATTTAATCTTAAAATTTACAAAAGAAATGTGTTGTCGGTAAATAAGACCAGAATATAAATTTTTTGCACCATGACTAGGAAAGACAAGTCGGAAGGTGGTTTAATATCTATACATATAAATTCTTTACTTATATAGTTTTAAGAAACTCGTCTATCTGGATTCTGTATTATTGAGAAACTGTCAGCTTATGACTGAAATTAAAGATATTGATAAACATTTACATACTTATTAACTTGCCGCTTTCTCAAGAGTTATAAATTATATTATTTTGCGAATACAACAAATCGGCCTTGCTTCGTCTCTTTTTTTAGCTCTAACTGAACCCCACATGAACTTCCTAAATTTTTTACAACATATTTTTGACCTTTGAGAAACACTTGGTATAAGAATGAAAAAATAGTCCGATGAAGAAACGAACGAATGTAGAAATAGTCCGAAAAACGATGCAGAGAAATATAAATAGAAATCGAAAGAAGAGAAAAATAGTCTTTCAGGATTAAAAAAAGCCTCGTGTTATTTTCATGCTTATTAAAAATCTGTATGCAAAAGATCTGTTTGATAAACTGCTACTTGAAAGTGTAAACTAACAATCTGACAAAAATATACTTTCTTATTATATATTTTTTTTTATAGAAAGGTAAGCTTTCTTTAAATGTGATGTTAATATTACATTAATTATAGAAAAATATGTTTTTCGTTCAATTTTACAAAGCGTTGGTCTTTAAGAAGCAAACCTGCTGAGAAATGCAATAAACACTCTTTATATGTAAAATATGTAATGAGGCCATTATATCTTCTTAATCTGTCACGAAACAAGTTTTGGCGAAATTTGTATTGCAATTTGTTCATTGACACTACCGTATCAATATTCCAAGGATATCAAATCGCAAGGTATAGAAAGCTGACGATGTCTTCGTTCCGCTCTACTGGTTTCTTTGAATGGGCTATTGTATTTAAGGAAATATTTCATTAGAATGGATATATAGTGTTGACTTTAAATATAACTTTCAATTTGCATGAAAGTGTAGAGTTAATTTTATAGTTAGTTGTTAGTTAAATTTTAACAGTTTTGTTTATGTTTGAGAAAGGTTATAAGCAACGTCACGATACAACTTTTATATACATATATACGTAAATAGACTACGCGAGTGGAGCCGTTGGACAATCTGGTATATTATAATATATAGTTACTAGCGACTCATCCTCGCTCCGCTCGGGTTCGTCCCTAGTGAAAATTGAGGATTGTATGTATTTTTGTATGTTGTATCATAAAAAAATAGAAATTAAAAATTTTGTCTAAAAGATAAAAAATAAAATTTAGGGGTGGACTACCCCTAACATTTAGGGGGATGAAAAATAGATGTTGGCCGATTCTTATAGATACCGGATAAGCACAAAAAATTTCATCAAAATCGGTCAGGCCGTTTCGGAGGAGTATGGCAACGAAAACTGTGACACGAGAATTTTATATATTAGAAGATATACGAGCACTTCATGAAACAAATATAAATAATAAAATGTTCTATTAAATTGGTAAAAAAGTGGTTTATTACAAATACAAAAAAATCTTAAAGTCTAGACTGTAAAATCTAGTTCATATTATAATACGGAAGCTTTTACTCTGGTAGATCGAATGTCGAGGTCATATTTTGATGTAAAAAATTAACTGCTAACAATAATAGGTACATACTACCTACTTGTGAATTTAATTTACATTCGTATACATAGGTATATCCAGTCGGCCCTTTTCAACGTCCCGCTGCTGGGGGTGGGCCTCCCTTCAATACGAGGGGGATCAGGCCATAGCCCACCACGCTGGCCAAGTGTGGATTGGCAGACCTTACATGTCCTTCGAAAACTTGCTAGGTTCTATCACACATCCATGTTACCTTCACCGTAAGATAAGTAATCACCTATTTCCAAAAACACTGACGAACTTCCTCTATATAAACTTTTATCCCCTATTCAACCCTTTTAGAGTATGATTATCAAAAAATCCTTCCTTAGTTGTTACCATTATTATACAAAGTAACTCTTGTACAAAAGTTTAAATAAATAAATATGTTGGGACATTAACACACAGCACCATCTAGTTCCATCGTAGCTACGAGGCTTGTGTTATGGATACCAGATAGTTGACACACTACACATATATAACTTTAAATACATACATATTATAAATATACATTATATACATAAAATATAACATTCGTGCCCATCACACAAATGAATCGAACCTGCGCCCGCTGGCACAGCAAGTAGGGTCACTACAAACTGAGCTAAACGTGTCGTCATTTTACTAGAAAGTGAATGAACTGAGAAATAAATTAAGTCCATTTTATTTGTACTAATTAAGTTCAAAGATAGCGTCTTCATGCGATAATATCTACTGTGTATTATCGCATCAAGAGCAATTTTAGCGCCTTTCTACTTTTACGCGTATGTAATTACGTAGTTCCTATTAAACAATGTGTTTACAATTGCAATGTGAATGCGGAATTCTTTTTAATAATTATCGTGCTGTTAATAAAACTTAAAAATTATGTTGTTTAAAGAAAATATATTTATAGGTAGCAGTGGCGAATGGTGAAATTTTAGCAGAGGTAAGCCGTTCCAAAAATATACAATTTTTATATACGTATTAATGCAGAAAGAAATGATATATAATAAAAGAAATAATATATATATATATATATATATATATATATATATATATATATATATATATATATATATATATATTATTTTATTATTATTTAGATGAAAACAATAAACACCCAAATTATCTAGAAATTTTACCTTTTGTATTGATGATGCAACCATGACACACAGAAAAATGAATAAAGTATAAAGTATAAATAATAAAATAAAGTCAAAAATAGAAAAAGATAACTTACGTGTACTCCATATGAAAAGCTGTATTTGGGATGCGGGTTAAACTGGTCGTGCGCTTCTTTTAAGTCTAAATCATCCACATAGGAAGCCAAGGTTGGGGTTTGTAGTGATTGTACATTGTAGAAATTGTCATTTATGTTTAGACCCAAAAACTTTTTCGGCGGCAGACTGTTTTGTTGGTAGCCCCTTAGGTCGATATATTTATAATTGGTGGCAGGATCGTATGAAACCTGTTGCCCAAAACCAATCTGATTGAAAGTTTGCTTCGGCCTTTCAATGTAACCAGTGTATTCTTCCACAGTTTTGGGAAGCTGCCGAGGTGGGGGACTATAATTATTTCCTTGCAAAACAGATATTGCCTTCTCCCTTTCATACTCTGGAAGCTTAGTGTTTGGGTCATCTAAGTAACTAATTATAGCATCATCCACGTTTTTGTAGGTTCGGTAAGCGTATTCTGGTTGGTTTGCTCCTGGTCCTGTATCATCATATTTGTTCTCGATGGCAAACCTTATTTGAGCTTCAGACGCAGCGGAGAACGGTTCGTGAATCGGTCTTATGCTGATGCTTGATGCGCTCACGATTAGGGATAATATTAGTACCTGGAAAGAGGTATGTTTGAAATGAATATGTTTGAAAAATGTCATAAAAATTGATTATAATGCACGAGAGTTGCAAATGAGTTGAATACTTTTTTGTTAAAAAAATATTATTTTACAAGTATATTGATAAAGGTTTTTTGTATATGTATTTATTTATTATGGATACTATTATGTTTCGCTTACTTGCGTTTAAATAAAAATATCGATTTATTAATAACTAACACATAAGCAAAAGTATTTATTATATTATAGATACCTATTAGATATTAATGTATAGTGTTCGGCAAATATCTCTTATCGTCACGTTGTAAAATTATGTAATAGCTAAGAGAAAGTTTATTATTATTAGGCCTATTTACATGTTACTGATGCTCTTGACTTACATCATTAGTTACTTGTTACAGGTTAAATAATTTTCAATATTATTTAATACTCATGAGATATGCTGTGTAATATTTATATAGTCACAGCACTTTCTATCTGTCATAAGTGTTCTAATAGGGTCTATTCAATAGCTAGTTACCAAAGTAAAGATTACAGTACCTGGACATTTTTTCGGGAAAGATATAAAAATTTGCGATTTTTCAGAACAGAAACATACTCATAGGTGCTTATATATATAAATATGTGATTGTACATAGATAAACTTAAAAAGCAAAACCTTATCTAAATACAAAATTTGATCCAAATAGTTTAAGAGTCGTTTCCGAGATACAAGAATTAAATTTGTATATGTATTGATGTACTCGTATAAGAATTGCTCATTATTTAATAATATAATTCTATAAAACTAAAACAATCTCACGGGAACCGTACATTTTCCGGGATAAAAAGTAACGAATGCGCTATTCCAGACTATAATCTATCTCAGTGCCAAATTTCATCCAGATCCGTTCAGCCGTTCTGGCGTTATTATGTAACAAACATCCAAACTTTCACATTTATAATATTAGTAACATTATAAGATATAATTGTAATTTCAAGTTCAATCAATCAAACAAAAGATAGTAAAAAACTTAAAATTTTCGGAAACATCAAAGTCAAAGATTTTGATCCATTAAGAATAAATGAAAAATTATTATCGGTATTGCTTCTATGATACGTACGTACAGAGACTTACGAATCTTTCGCATAGTTATTACTTATTTACAACTTATTTTTGGTATTTAATTAAATACGTACATCGATCGAACATTTTTTGCTGGTTTGCCCAAGACAGGTAATCAAGACCAGTTTGTACGCCCCAGTAACCGATGATACGTGGAGTTGCATCACTTACATTTTGGTTCATTTAATATCCACTGTACATTGCAGAGGTGTAATCATCCGATTATTTATTAAAACAAATTTTATTATCTATACCATTATTTACTTTTGGGGAAACTTAAGATTATATCCATTTAAAAATTCTGTTGTGTGATAGTCCTATAGTAAAACCAAGTCCATTCGCTTGAAAGCCCTTGGTCCTTTTAGACCTCTGAAATTTTCATGTGGGAATCATTTTCATCAATATGATTATCAAATGCTCATACGGTGATCGACAATTTTTGGAGATCTTAATCTGAATGTGTGAGGGAAGCTACCTAGTTTTCGGAAGATGTGTCCGAATTTAGCCAGCGTAGCTACTAATCTACCATTAAGGGGTAGCCTATGCCTGGTAGTAAAATATCAGTTAACCGTCTGGACTTTTTCATTTTCTATCTTTTTTATATTTTCTAATATTATATAGTATATATTGTCTTAAGTATTCTTATAATATAAGATAGGGTAAAAGCAGGCTGAGGCATGATGTCATTCTACAATAGACGAAGAATTTAAATCAATCTAAACAAAATGTAAACAAGTACATATATGGGATATGCAATAGAATTTTTAAAATATATAATCTTCAATTATTCCAGATTGAGATTTTTTTTTTAAAGATTTAATAAATTATGCTTGTATTAAGTATTTTTTAAAATGGAAAGTAATAAGTATATATACATTTGACACATAAATGCAGTCAGTTGCCATTTTTTTATATGACTAAAGACTGCTTTTAGTATTCCAAATGTACACTTAATGTATCAAATACCATAAATGAGAAAATCTACTCTTGCCATATTTGCGAGATTATTTTATTTCTTCGTAAACGTTATTTTTGTTCAAGTTATTTCAAAAATTTTGAAGAAACATTGACAAGTTTCTTGGATAAAATATTATGCAGTTGGTTTGATGTTGTTTGTATGATTGAGATGGCGTTCAATCATAAAAAAAGGAAGGCAATAAAGCAACTGAAAAAGAATAAAGAATATTTTTTATAATGTGTAACACGATTGGAGGAGATGACAATTTTTACTATTTTACTTCTTTTAAAAAATATTATTATGAAAATAAGCTCTTAAAAATATTTTAGCTGTCGTAATTACAGGAAGTTTTAAGCAGCCATTAATTTATTCAGTTATATTTCACTTTAAAAAATCTAAATTTCGCCATACTCTCTTAAGCAAGTGGTAGAAACTAGTCTCTACATTTTAGACCAGGATTGCATGTCTAGAACTTTTAACTATGTAGGAGTATATATTATTAATGCGAAAATTTTAATGATACAGTTCAGTTATTTAAATTAGTTTTCATAATCATAGTTATATTAACTTTAGCAAGTATATTCTTTGGTTAGTTATTAGCTAGCAAAAACCTTTCCGATGTTTATGGCGTTTGCATCAATATGAAGTACAGTGAAATAAACTTAAATGAAGTCATCAAATTTAGGTCTGTAGAGTAAGAAAGGATATTTTTCACTACGTATAGCTCCTGGGTTTGGTTGTATGTTTTATTTGGTAAAAAAAAACTTTTGGTACCTGTTTTTTTAAAAATTGTATGTATGTATGTATGTATATATTTGTATTTCGTTGTATTCCCAAGGAGGGTTGACGTCAGGCAGGCGGCCGGTCGTAAAACTTTTGCCAAATCCTATCAGCAGTACATTGAAGATGTACTGCGCCGACCCCAAGTGATTTGGGAAATGGGCAGGGAGAAGAAGAAGAAGAAGTATGTATGTATGTATTCAACCCTTTTTAACGTCCCACTGCTGGGCGCGGGCCTCTTTTCATACGAGGGGGATCAGGTCATAATCCACCACGCTGGCCAAGTGCGGGTTGGCGGACTGCACATGTCTTTCGAAAACTTGCTAGGTTCTCTCAGACATACAGTTTTCCTCACAATGTTTTCCTTCACCGTAAGGCTAATAGTGGTAATTACGTTAGAAATGATTCGCACATGAAAATATCAGAGGTGCGAGACCCGGGATTTGAACCCGCTTCACTCGGTTTTCCAAGCGAGCGCGTTACGACTGAGCTACCACTGCCTCTAAAGATCACTAAAGATTGTATACAGGGTTTAAGTTAAGTTCAAGCACTTGACTACCCTGACGAAGTCTTAATCGAAAAGAAAACTTTTATTGTTATGTAGGGAACATGAATGAGTGACAGGGTATGGTCGTCACGGTACGATTGAAGTTGCGGGTATTATTTGAGGACAAAACAATTTTAGCAATCTTATTAAAAATCAGAGCAAAGATAGACAAGAGAAGGCTTGTAAAGTTTATTTTGTACAGTCCAATTACGTAAATACACCAATTATGAAATTTAACTGGAGTTTTAACATTTTACTTAATTATTTAATTATGAAGTAACATTAAATTCAAGTAAATAATTTTAAACAACTTATTTTATCACCTTACACATACTTAATTAACATAATCTTATGATGAGTTTTGTTATTTATATTAAACTAGCAGCTCGCCCTCACTCCTCTTGAGTTCATGCCTAGTTACTTTTCAACGTTTAGTATACACAGATTTCTCAGAGATAAGATATTTTCCCGCAGTAAAAAGTATCCTATATGTTGAACCGGATCCTTCATCAAAATCTGTCCAGTGGTTTTCTCGTGATGCGTTTCCAGACAGAAGACAGACAGACAAAAATTCTAAAAGCCATAGATTCGGCCTATGTATCGATAATAATAACTATTTCAACAAGATTTTCCAAAAAATATTTAATGTACAGATTCAACTCAGAATTATTATATGTACATAGAGAGATAGATGAAATGTACTGTAAGGAGTTACATATTAGGTATGTTAAATTGTTTTATTATTTACATTTCAATTTATGTTAACTGAGTAATTTTGTAATAACAGTGTTAATTTGTTTTGCTTGAAAGTATTATTTCTTTCTTATATAACTCATACGTTAATAATAATTTAATATTAACTGCATATCAATGTTTACGTGAATATTAATTGCATTTAAAATAGTTTTATATTATTAATATGCTATTAATGTTAATTTAATATGTATATTTTTTTACTTACAAAATACCGCCACATTTTTATTCAAACACAACTAAACACAGATAAAAATTAAAAAAAAAAAATAGTCCACTGCCGCGTATACACGTGCGGACCAACTTTTACACAACTATTCAGCCCGGCCGTTTGTTTCCGAGTGACATGCTCAGGCCACTGACTTGCCGACTTTTGTCAGACATGATAACTTGATTATACTTTAAATCCTTATATAATGAAGGACTAATTCCTCCAAATCATTCACACCACGTTTAATTTTGCGGAAATACATTATGTTAATTTCAATAGCTTATATATTATTATTTAATAGCCAATATCATATTTATAGGATTGGTCCCGTATTGTATAATTATCTTCTATAGAGGAAAACGAACTCTATGTAAATATTAAGGAAAGTATTAAGTATGACCCAATTGCTGTATAAATTAGGTCTCGCATTTGACCCCGACATTTATCGCATTATGAATGAATCGATCAGATTACGGCCATTGCGGTTGTCTTTGAGCAATCGACAAACGATTCTTATATTACTTATATATGGTCGAACAAAACAGATGTACCTCAAATCTGAGAATATTATTGAACGGTTAAATTTTATTCTTATTAATTATTTTTGAACACTTAATTGGTTTATTGGCGAGATTATAGATTGTAAGATTTCTCCAGTGAATATTTTCGGGAAAAGGACAGTGGTCTGAAGTAGTAATTTTAATAGTAAAAGCTTTCATTACTTTATTATCTATGGATAGTTTGATTTATTTTTTTAAAAACATAATATATAGACTATATAAATGGTGACTTTAGCGGTCGAAGATAGTTTTGTGCTCATCGCTATTATGTTATTATGTAGTAGAGACTTGCTCTCGCTTCGCTCGGGTGCGTGCGTACGCCCTAGGTACGTTTTCAGTAGATAAAAATTGTTATTAAAAATGTATCTTAGGAGATATACACATGCTTTTGTCGTTAATTCGATTTTTTAGTAATTTTAGAGGGGTTTTGAGGGGGGATAACATACTGTATATGTAGCCCTATAAACTTATTTTTCTTATAGTCCAAGTTCCATTACAATCGGTTAAGCCGTTCCAAAAATTACTACAGACAAACAGAAAAACAGACACAAAGTTTTTAAAAAGTGTTGTTTTTAAGTACTAGTATCATATTATGTACTTGAGAAAACATAGTAATTTTGGAATTATAGACAGGCACTTAAATTTTATTTATACATATGTATATAATAGAAAATTCTTTGTTCTTCCTAGAAAATATGAAAATTGTTAAAATATTATCAATTAAAGATCATCAACAACAAAAATTATAATGATTTAGTTTTTCTTTGCGCATTTTCCCTCGAGGACTAGATTGATTATTTTCTAGCAACGCTGAAATATTATATTTTCAACTAATGGCCCGCTATTATTGCAGTGTATAATCTATACCTATTACTATACTTCATAAATCTTCTATTTCATCACTACTTGATCCCCCACAAACCGCCAAAATAGGGCCTGTTAGAATCAACTTATCAACACAACTAAATAACACTGTTACGGCAACAAACTTAAAAATAAGTTTTTTTTACTAGTCATCGGAGAGTTTCACTATCCACCTAGCTCTCTCATCAAATTGGCTAGTCAGATACGACGATAATAATTTAAAAGTATCTAAGTCAAATTTGACTTTAAGAGTTCGATAAGTGGTCAAAATTCGACCATACTAATTATTCAAAATTTAAAGAATATATATATATATATATATATATATATATATATATATTTTGAAAGAGAACTACACAAACGGAAATAAACAAAAATATATGCTAATAAAAATGTAATTGCTATATGTAATATGGCCTTTACCGTATAAAAGGACACCATATTGGTTAAAATAACTGCAATGTACTATTACGTTAGACATTTTGCCACAACAAATATTTTAATTTTATATCTAATCAAAAATAGATCATATAAAATCGAAATTTAACGGAGCCATGAATAAAATTTCCATAGCAATAAGGCCCTATTATAATAAATAATCCAAATTACCATCGCTTACAACAAACAAGTATGTGCCGTAGAGGTGATTGCAACGACCTTCAGAGCTCCATAGGAATTTCATTCATTTTGACACTCGTGTATCAGTTAGGCCCGATACACACTATAGCGCTGATCCATTTGGTTCTTGGTTCGATATTGGTCTGGTAAAGTATTTTCTAAGAACCGTTGCTCGAGAGAGATTCGGCAGGACCTTGAATTTTACTGAATTATAATTTAGTGTATACACTAATACTATAAAAAAACTTTACCAGACCGATACCAGACCGAGAATGATCAATGAACGTGATCGGCACTATAGTGTGGATCGGACCTTACCTGTCAGTTCAAATAGCTGCTTAATAGTATAATGATAGTGTTACTGACATTTCCTAGTATGTCGAAGAGTTGGGGATTCAAAACACACCCAATGTTTGAGTTAAAAGAAAAATGTATTTGGGCTTTGTATTATTGTTTTAATAACCATTATTTTTTTATATTTTTTTGAATTTAAATCTAGATTATATGTCGTGTGTGTGATTGTATCTATGTTTTTTATACAGGTCTTAAAATAACTGGGGTCACGTTTATTAGTTTAATCACAAAAGATATAGTAAATTATCATTTGTATTAAAGTAGACATTTAATATGTAAAGAGGCTTGCAAAGTTGACTTTTGAACGCTCTTCAAATTAAACCTTCCATTACGAGCATTGCACAATTTTATAAGCTCTTTGTTCTAATCCTAATTTTCAACACACATACTTGTTGTTTTATGCTTCAGAGTCGTTTCTTAAATTATGATTGATTGTGATTTAGTCGAATAACTATAAGATTATTCTCTACGGAAATTCTTTGTTTTAGAGGTTAACAAATATAAACTTTTTATTTCATTTGAATAACTTTTCATGGACAATTCTACTTTTTAATAAAAAAAGCTTTTGTCACATAACGTGATTTATTTTTTTCATTATCTTCTGAATTATACAAATGGTATACTTTAAAGATACTTTAAATATATACATATTATAAATGTAAACACCCATGGCTGGAGTACAAAAATTCGTGCTCATCGAACAAATGAATGCCCCCAGCAGGACTCGAACCCGCGACCGCTGGCACAGCAAGTAGGTTCACTAAAACTGAGCCAAACGTGTCTTCGACAATAAAGCAACGTTTTTTCTATCGACCCAAACAAATACTGTTGTTGCTCAGCTCCTACAAGTGCTAGGTCAATTAATTCTTCCTGAAGAAGTGCAGATCATAATAGAAAAAATCGTATCCAAATATGTTCAGTAGTATTCTTAATTAAATTTGAGCGCACATCATGATTACATTGGCAGAAAGACAGACAAATGCTGGGGTAGTTTTATATGTATGTAAAATGTAGGTACATATATATATATCTACCTCGTAATCTATACAATGTCAATTTTTTTTTGTTTTATTATATTTAGCAATAGCAATCTATTCAGCCCCTTTTTTTAACGTCCCACTGCTGGGCACGGGCCACCCTTTCAATACGAGGGGGATCAGGCCATAGTCCACCACGCTGGCCAAGTGCGGGTTGGCGGACTGCACATGTCTTTCGAAAACTTGTTAGGTTCTCTGAGACACGCAGGTTTCCTGACGATGTTTTCCTTCACCGTAAGGCATATAATAACAATAAACAATATCGCAGTATATTTTTAGCATTTTGTTCTTTTATTACAAAAATAGCGAATAAACGACATAGCACTAAGACTTAGAAAAAAAAAAGAAAAAAAAAGTGCTATATCCATTACAATGTAAAACAATATAAGTATGAAAATTGTAAATCCACCATAACAACATTATGATGGTATTGTGCATGAAATTTAAGTATAAAAGTAAAATGTTAGAGATAGAACTAAGTAAGTATATGTAATAGAAATAAGGAATATGTAATAAGTTATAAAAATAACAAAACTAGTAATAATAAGATAAATCATAAGGAAAATGTAAAAATACTGTAAATCTAAAGTACAAATAGAAAGTAAGACTATATGTAGAATACCGCTTAAAAAACAATGTAATAGCAAGTAAGAAAAATTGTAAACAAGGACTCCGACTCCCACATCGGAGGTGTGTCAGTATAAATTAAAAAAAAAAAAAAAAAAAAAAAAACAAAAAACAAAAAAGAGAAAAAGTAAAAAAATAACCATTACAATTTCGTCATGTCCGTGTGTCCGTATGTCACAGCCATTTTACTTGGGAAACGACTTGATGTATATCGCTAAAATTTGATAAGTAGGTATCTCATGAGAACCGCTGGATATTTTTTTTAATAACCCATTTGTTATTAGTTTGTTACTCATGAACTATGACATATAAACAAATTGATGTTAACAAAGTCATGGCTAAAATCTACTACGTATCCGGAACAGTACGCGGACGCGAATTTTATCAATCATCGTATTAAAATCGGTTCAAGGCTGGTTAGACAAACCAATAATTTGCCTTTGTTAAAACTTACCATACTAATCTGTATTCTAATTTAATTTAAGTGGAAATTCATATGAAAATTGGTTGGTGATTGGATATCTATGTATGTATATAACTACTAGCTCCTACAAACTACTTACGGTTCATAGCCATCGATCAAAAAAGTACGTGATACACAATCCCATGCAAAACTTCTCTCAATACTGTCACCAATTGTGTTTAGGTAATTATTCTAGTTGAAATAAATATACAACAATGTAAATTGAACCTTAAGTGAAATTCTTAAAGTTGTTGTAACAAAAATAATAATATTTAAAACCGCGCTTAAATGTTCAAAATAGTAACTTTTTAGCCCTAAAGTGATATTATTATAAAAAAGGTTCTTTTTTAATTCGATATATTCGGTATCTTTCTGAGAGTAAGTAATACAGTGTTGCCAAAAATGTGCGTAATATTTTTATTTTACATAGAACCTAACGTTTTGTGTTAAACGAGGTTTCTCATAAACTAGCGTCTCAGCCTCGCTTCG